ATTCTGATTTCTAAAAAAATGGCTATAGATATGAATTGGACATAGTAAAGCCCATATTGATTCTACATTTTCAATTGTCTAATATTTTAAATGATTGTGTGTATGAGTTTATGTCTTATTATGTCTCTAAACATTATCTGAGGTGTACTATAATTTTCACATTATTATCTCATACTTCGTTTTTAATAAGATTGGTAAAAGTTTTGAAATTTTAATTTTGGTTTTCCCCCACTGCTTAGAGTTTGGTGATATAAAATGAAAAGAGGTTTCCAGGTTGCTAACATTCACTGGATTTTGTTCCAAAAGCTGGGTTTTTATTTATTTATTTAATCCTCACCTGAGGATATTTTTTCCATTGATTTTAGGGAGAGTGGATGAGAGAGGATAGACAGAGAGAAACATTGATGTGAGAGAAACACATTAATTGGTTGCCTCCTGCACATGCCTTGACCAGGGTCCGGGCCAGGGAGGAGCCTGCAACCAAGATATCAGACTGGGATCGAACCCAGTACCCTTCAGTCTGCAGGCTGATGCTCTACCCACTGAGCAAAACTGGCTAGGGCCAAAGTATGGGTTTTAGAAGAATTTTGAATTAAATCCACATTCTTCACCCAAGCCTAGTGATACAATCCAACATTTCAAAGATAGTTATGCCATAAACAGCTATAGTTAAATAATTAAAACATGGAAGTACAATAAAATAAGAATTGATCACTTGATAGTGGAATACTATATAAATTGTCTATATTGGGAACATGTGGTGGCTTTCAAACATCTGACTTCTATAATTCTAAAGTGTGTAGTTTATTTGAAGGCAGAAACTTTTTTCTCCTTTGCATATATTTATAAGAATGCAGGTTAATAAATTTGTCGCTGTCCCAATTTGCATTCATTTGCTTATTTTTAACTTAGAAAAGTCATTTTGGAGTACAAATCCATAACATAAATATATTCACTTCAAATATTTTATTGCTAAGTACTGAAATGTGAGGATAAAGAGATTAATTCTGTAAATCTTGTTACTTTTATAGGTCTGTGTAAAAAAAATCACATATTAACATAGTCCCCAATAAGAGGAAGAAATTATTTAAAAGCACATACATGGTACAGAAAAGTTAAAGTGTCTTTAATTTTAAATTATCATTAAAAATAAGCTTATCTGAGTGGCATTATACCAACTATAATAATTGCAAGAGCTGAAAGGTCCCAGTGGTTTTGCAATGTAATGTCTGCACAACCACATTTAAGTTGTTAAGGGAAGTTACAGCCCTCCCATGTATGAGACAACTGAACTCTTAACCATCACAACAAATGCTGGCCTTAGATTATACTGCTTTAAATGAAATATTACCTGGGTTGCTAGATAGTTATATTATATGTGTATAAATGATGCTAAAATAGCCTGCAAGGGGAAATACTAGTGTTCACTGAGCAGTGAAAAGGCACATTCAATTTGTTAGCTTATTCAACTTTTTAAAGTTTTTTTTTTAAACTAAAACAAAACAACAACAACCAAAACACCAAAACCCAAAACATCTATACTAATAAAAGAGTAATATGCTAATTAGACCAGGAGACCTTCCGGACATCCTTCTGGACAAAGCCATGTGTGGGAAAGGCAGAGCGGTTAGGGCGATCAGGCTGCAGGAGGCAGTTGGGGTGAGCAGCTACGGGGGGGGGCAGTTGGGGGTGAGCAGGCCGGCGGGGGGGCAGTTGGGGGCGAGCAGGCTGGCGGGGGGGGAGGGCAGGTGGGGGCAATTAGGCTGGAAGGTGGGACAATCAGGCTGGCGGGGGGGGCAGTTGGGGTTGATCAGGCTGGAAGGGGGGGCAGTTGGGAGTGATCAGGCAGGCAGGCAGGTGAACGGTTAAGAGCCCGAGGTCCCGGATTGCGAGAGGGATATCTGACTGCGGGATGGGGCCTAAACCGGCAGTCGGACATCCCCTGAGGGGTCCCAGATTGGAGAGGGTACAAACCGGGCTGAGGACCCCCCCTCCCATACATGAATTTCGTGCACCGGGCCACTAGTGTAAAATAAGAATCTTTTCTTAAATATGGAAAATAAATATGTTTCATTGTTAGACTGTGATATATCTATCTGTAGAATTTTGTTCATAATCTGGTTTTTTCATCTGTTCCCATTCCTCCTTTAAAATGGTGTTTTTAAAAAGTTACATTTTTGAGGTAGAGAAGGAAGGAAGCATGTCTGAGTCTTAGGTAAGAGTGGCTTTACCCCAGCCTGTCTCCTGCACAGTCTCCAGTGCCTGGCCCTTGGGGAGCAGCATCAGAAAGCTTCCAAGACAGATTGACTTGGGGGTCTGGAGGCATCACACTGCTTAGTGACAAGTGGAAAACAGAAGGGCCTGCATTTCCAGTAGGGACCCTGAAGACTTCTAGCGGCTTCATTACTGTTACAAGATCCTGCTGCATAGATGGGGGCAGATCACTTTACGCATATTTGACAGGAAAAGTTGCACCAGCTGTCTTCTAAGGCCTGTTCCAGATCTGAGAGACTATGGTGTTAACTTAAGCACTGTCTGTGCAGGGTTTCCTGTGTGCCAGGCAATGCTCTCTGTGTGCATATTTGTGACAGTCGTCTCTTGAGATTCTTATTCCTCACCTGCTTTAAGGGTGGGGCTCCTGAAATTTGGGAGGTTAATAAGTAGTTATAAATGCCCACGGCCAGTAAGGGGCAAAGCCAGGGTTCACATGGGCCTCAGACTCTAGAGCCATTGTGCATGCCAGCTGTCTCCCACTGAGGTTACTTGTGTGTGTTCTTCACCCAAGACAACTAGGTGTGATGTGTGTACAAGCTAGTGTACAACTCATGTTTCAGAAAGAGGAGGAAGAGTCTGTCAAGTTATGTGATTTCCTGCTGAGAAGAGGAAAGCTTAATTTCAGTTAGCTTTTCACATCCTTTGTAGAACTAAAGGCTCATTATATAATTCCATAGTTTGGTCCATTTTATGAAGTTAAGAAAAAGTGAACAAATTTTGTTTAGAAAATTTAATTTAATCACAGCAAACCCAAACCAGACATTTTAGCCATGAATAATCTTGTCTGTGAGGACAATATTTATTATACAGTTGGAAGGAAAGATTGAAATAACTGTTAGTGTCTTTAATACACAATTTTTATTTTGCCAGTTTTAATAGAGATTTAGCCTCATCTACCCAGTGCAGAGGGTGCAGGTGGGTGCCTCTCAGAAGAATGTGCCTGTAGTTTACATGTAGAGGAGGCACAGGGCCCTTTCCTGCTGGCACCCCAAATGGGCATGGTTTTGCAGAGGGGAATATGGATCACTTCTCACTCCCTGCCACTCATTTGTCCCCCATACACCAGCATCAGCAGTTCAGTTTTCCCATCCCTTCTGTCCTTGCCAGATGCATTGTTTTTAATTTCTGTTTTCCCCTGTTTCCATTCACTTAGCAAAAACTTGTCCAGTAAGTTAACATTTAGTTACAGACCTACTCAATGCTTCCTTGTCACCTGGAAGAGCACCTGTCAGGAAATGCAGGCCCTTGTGTGCTTTTGAGTGGGTTTTAAGCCTTCAATTAATTAAAGAAGAGAAGGCAAGAAGGTGGCCTTTGTTAGACTACTGATTTTGTGAGACTCCCTCCCTTTCTCCCCTCCTTCACTCTCCTGATTTACTCCACAGCAGTCAGAGAGAATGGATTCTGCCCAGCTGATATCTTATGAACTCAGTGTCCTAAGTTGTGTTGTCAGGTGTGTGCATGTGAAAAGGACATCTGTATTTTGGTGATGTATAGTTTGCTGTCTGTCTTCTGGGTCTGAATGACAGAATTGGAAACACGTCAAATGTCCTGATCTGTTATGCTGTTTTAACTGTGTGTGTGTGCACATATATTTATTTGTTTTCTTATTTATGTAAGGTGCCAGGTGGGCAAGAGCAAGGAGGAGATTTTAAAAAGACATTTTTGTGTTTATTTTTAAAAAGTACCATCTAGGAAGGGATTGATTTGAAAAGTTTCAGTTGAGTGAGAAGAGCAGAGAGGCCATTCAGTCTGTTGCCTCCTTTCTCCAGGTGTCAGGTGAGCAGTTTGAGGTTGTGCTTGGAACATTGTTCACAGTTCTGGGATTTAATGTGCATGTTGTTTCTGGTCACGACTCCAGTCCACAACAGGCAGCTGCAGATTTTTGGGGTGGTGGGACCTTTTTGCTTGATATATGTGGGAAGTAGTACAGCTTTTCTCTTGGTAGCTGCATGCCTGAGAATGTGGCTTTTTAAGTTGGGGGGAAAGGTTCTTCTTCCATCGAAGCTCAGGGAAATAGGAGGGCTAGAATATTTGTTTTTACTTTAGTCATGACCAACAGCATTATATCTTAAAATGTAGATCGAGGAGTGTCTGCATCAGAATTCCCCCAAGGGCCTGTTACAAATGCGTATTTCCAGACTTTCTGGATCAGAATTTTAAAGGATTGGGGTTGGAAATCTGCATTTTTAAAAAGCATCTGAGGTGATTCTTGTGTACACTGAGGTTTGAAAACCACATTTATGGAGGGAGAAGCAAACACCACTGTTCAAAGGTTAGACAACGACTGACATCATTGATGATGTTGCTCATGTTGGCCTATGTAGCAAGTACTTTATGAAAAATATAGAAAAGATGAAGCAGTTACCTGAACCTTTGGCTTCTGCTGGGATGGTCATCACCCTAATTGCTGTAGTAAAAATGAGAACAACTTATCTTGTTAGTTGTCCTTTGCCTGTTTGACTCATTCTAATAATTGGTAAACATAAAAGTCTAATGAGAAAATACTTTGAATCTTTTGCGCTTTAATCATTCTGAATAAGAAATGAGAATGTGTTAAATTTATATAGTAAAGCAGTTTTGGCAAAATGTGTTAAAATGGGTTAGTGGGTTAAAATCACCATTTTCTTGCCAGACTTAATAGTGTGTAGCAAATGAAAATTGTTTTAAATACAGAAAGTAGCTAATTTAGCAAAAATACTCATTTGCTTCCTTTTCTTTTTAAACAGGAAAAACTAACCCAAGAGTGTGTATTCAGAGAACAGTTTGAAGAAAACTGGTATAATACGTACTCTTCGAATCTCTATAAACATGTGGACACTGGAAGGCGATACTATGTTGCATTAAATAAAGATGGGACCCCAAGAGAAGGAACGAGGACTAAACGGCACCAGAAATTCACACATTTTTTACCAAGACCAGTGGACCCTGACAAAGTACCTGAACTATATAAGGATATTCTCAGCCAAAGTTGACAAAGACCATTTCTTCACTTGAGCCCTTAAAAAAGTAACCACTATAAAGGTTCTGTGCAGTGGGTTCTTATTGATTAGCTGTGTCATCACATCTGCTCCACTGTTGCCAAACTTTGTCGCATGTATAACATAGGATGGAGGCTTGGATGGGGACGTGCTGACTTTGTGTTGCACTTACAGGCCTGTCCTCTGGGAGGCCTGCCTGTGCCCACTTGATTTATTGTGAGAAGAGACAAGGGTGTGTGTATGTTAGTGTGTGTATGAGTGAGTGTGAGTGGATGAGAAGCAGGAAATCAAAGACAGGAGCAAAGTAGAAGATGGTGGCCTGATGCATGCTGGGGAATAGACACACTTTCACATGTCCAATCAGTTGTCCTTCAGCTGGTATCAGCACAGCTGCCACACTTTGACTCATGAGATCTTGGCTGGTGGCCTGCTCAAGGGTACACTGCATTTGCAAAGGCATGGAGGGTGCAGTCTTACTTAAGAGACCTTTTCAGTTAATTCTCACTGGTGCCATCCCAGTGAATTTAAAGCAAAGATCTCTTAGTAAAAAAAAAAAAAAAGAAAAAAAAAGTTAAATTTATTTATAGAAATTCCAAAGGCAACATTTTATTTATTTTATATATTTATTTATTATATAGAGTTTATTTTTAATGAAATATGTACAGGCCAGATAGGCATTTTGGAAGCTTAGGCTCTGTAAGCATTAAATGGGAAAGTCTGCTATGAACCTGTGGTGAATTCATGCAAATGAATATAACTTTGCATGGATATGAGAAATTCTGATGACCCTTAATGTACTGAAGGCGACAATCTCTTTTGTGCCCGTATTATTGTAAACTTATGCACATCATTCATGACACTGAGTATTCACTCTTCAGAATGCTTGTTTCATAGCTTATCCCAGAGGATTAAAGATAAACTGGGTCTCAAACTTTTATTCTGTGTCTGTACTATTTACTCTCTCATAAGTGACTGACGCCATCCTTGTAATGTCACAGTTGGAAAATATGAGGGTCAGTATATATCCGACTCGTCTAAATCTATTGCAGAATGTACCAAAGCTAAGCAGTAGCCATGCTTTTATTTTAGTTGGTCTCTAGAACAACAGGATGAACATCAAACATTGTACTGATTTAGAGTTCTCAAAAAGGAAAAAAAAAAAAAAGCTTACATAGCACAGATTATTCTTTAAAGGGACACCTGAACCAGATTAGTAGGATCATTCTTGTAAACTTTTTATTTGTACATTTGGTTATCAAATATGAAATTATACAAGTACCATAGAGGTCATTGTAACATTTTTAATGGAAAATTGATTTTGGTGTGAACTGTCATAATACGTGGTAATAGAACCTTCAAGTAAAACTTGCAAATGAAACATAACTCTTCACTAATAATTGACAATGAGGGAGAAGTATTATATTTGTTGACTGTTTTGCTTTTAAAAAGGTCTTCACAAGCGCTCAGTTTTTTAAAGAGGAGGTTACTATATAGAATATCTTTTACAAGGCTTTTATAACATTTTATGCTGAAAAGCCTAAGAATACATATTTATTTAGTAGCAATAATTTTGGAACTTGCCCTTGGGCAAGGGAGACTATTCCTTACTATATCTAAGGAGAAAAGAGCCAAATTCTTAAAGCAATATTTAAGAAAAAGGAGTTTATAACAAATTCTCATACCATAGAGAATAGTTTTTAGTCAGTTATGTTGGGAAATTAAAAGTGACAGTTAAAAAATGTGTTGGAATTTATGTAGCTAATTTTAAAATTTAATACTCCAACTTTGTTTTGCTGTGATGCATATTCTCTATGAAAAATAAAGGTATGTCACTGGTGAGTTAAAGCTGTTTTGAAGTAGAAGCCCATGACTTATAGCCGTGAACATATGTGGCCCTTCTAAGGTCCAAGCTGGAGCACACAGAAGAGTCCTCCTGCTGATAGGCATTAAGGAAAAATTAAGTCTAACCTTTGGAATTAAGAAATATTTTGGGGGTGGGGGACTGGAGCGATGTAAGATAGTTAATTTACGATAAAGGTCAGAATGTTCTCTTCATTTAGTCCCCCCCCCTTTTTTTAAACTTTCTAAAGAGAAACTGTATTTAACCCCTAGATGTAGTAGTCTTATTTATTACTTAACTCTTTGCTGCTGTTAAAATGTGCACATATTCAGGCTTTAGTTCTTCCAAAAGGCATTTAATATTTTTGACTGAGAAACATTAAACATCTGACCACAGGGATGAATCAAGTTTGTAGGATGTCATAGGTACAATATTTAGCACTGAAAAAATTGATTTTAGGTGATAACCAAAAGTAAAGTAGCATGAGGTGCAATTAGCCCAAAATAAAGAAAACAATTTGTGAAAAAGACTAAAAGCTCCATGCATTCCTAGAAAAATGCTACTTTAATGTCTACATTTGGAGTTATTTTGTTTTGGTACCTATTTTTTAAAAAAAGAGAAAAATGTTTTTTTGCTTTTGGCAATGGATACAATAAACTGTAATGGTCTGTAAATAAATAAATATTGACTTATGCAATTTATGTAAATAAGTGTTCTGGGAGAGTAGATTGCTCAGGGTTCTGGTGGGCATTGTTCTATTGGGCAGCAGAGTGAGCGCAGAGGTTTGCATCTGGTTCTTTGCCTAAGAGACTTAGAGCCCTTCATTTGGCAGCCCTTAGCTACTGTGGAATGGGTGGTCCCAGTTTTCACCAACAGATGTTTAGACAGCCCAACCGCTATGTAATTGGTGCCAATATGTGCACCTTGGTTAATATTTAACATGATTGAACCACCCTCCCATCTATCTTGTGAATATCCCAGGCAGTGTCGAAGGACGTGCCAGGTTGGGGAACCTATCTCCACTAGATTCCGTTGTGTAGATAAATGAATGGATTCAGTTTATGGTGTTTTCATTCTGTTTCTTCTCATGAACACTACACCTTGCATGATTTCCTTGATAATCTGTAATTGTGTAAATACATAATTATAGACTTTTGAAAATGTATTTTTTTAACTTGATGTCCATTTTGGAGCTGCTTCAAATTATGTGCCTACTTGAACCAATGGAATTTTAAAACATGCTCTTCTTGCTCTTACAGCTGTTACATATATGTTGAGTGAGTAGGGGGTGGGAGATGGAAGGGGAGGAACAAACACATCTAGATGCCTTTTCTTTCTGTAAGCATTAGATGGAGAAGCAGGTAACCTTCTGGGATAGACATTTATGGAGTTGTAGCAAGGAAAATGGTGTGTGTGTGGACATTTGTGTGGGTGGGTGAATGGACAAAGTCACATTGTTTGAGGTCAAATTCTGTTTGCTGAATCATTTGACCTTGAAATGTGCCAAATTTACGTAGATCCAGTTTTTGGTCACTTGCACCAAAGAGCAATGCAGTGGTGGGGTGGGGAAATACAGATGGACTCAGAAGATGTGTTGGCTAACAAGCCCCTCTGGAGGTCATGTGTGTGTATATGTGTGTTATACACGTTATGTAATACCCACGTGTGTGCATAGACATTGCACAATTTATTTAAAACTCTTTTTTTGCCACTTCAATAATTTTGAGTTTTGGTAGTTTCTGAGAGCAAACTGTGATGTTCAAGCATTTTATCCTGGCATTACCATGAAGTTTTAAAAAGTATATTCCTTGAGCCTCAAAACACTCCTAGACAGTTTAGGACATACATTGCCTAGGTTAATTTACTTTAATTTATTTTTATTCCCATCCCCCCACCCCCACCCCTTTGGCAACTATCAGGTGTATTTATGAGTCTGTTTTTGTTTTGGTTTATTTATTTATTTAGGGTACTTTTTTTTTTTAGATTCCACATATAAATGAGATCATATGGTATTTGTCTTTCTCTAACATTTCACTTAGCATAATACTCTTCAGGTCCATCCATTTTGTCCTAAATGACAAGATTTCATTCTTTTTTATAACTGTGTCATATTCCATTGTGCATATGGACCACATTTTCTTTATCGATGGACACTTGAGTTGCTTCTGTATCTTGGCTATTGTAAATAATACTGCAATGAAGATAGGGGTGCATATATTTTTTTTTGAATTAGTGTTTTGGGTTTCTTTGGATAAACACCTAGAGGTGGGGTTGCTGGGTCATAAGGTAGTTCTATTTTTAATTTTTTGAGGAAACTCCATACTGTTTTCCATACTGACTGTAGCAATTTGCATTTCCACTCACAATATACAAGGGTTTCCTTTTCTCCACATTCTTGCCAACACTGTTTGTTGAATTATCAATTTAGTCAATTTGACAAATGTAATGTCTCATTATAGTTTTAATTTGCATTTTCCAGATGACTAGTAATACTGAGCATCTTTTATATATTTATTGGCCATCTGTATGTCCTCTTTGGAGAAATATCTGCTCAGGTTCTCTGCCCATTTTTAAAATTGTATTGTTTGTTTTTTTGTGTTTAGTTGTGAGTTCTTTAGAAGTTTTGGATATTAACTCCTTATCGAATATATAATTTGTTAATATGTCTTTTGATTGAAGCATTTCATCCATTTACATTTAGAGGAATTATTGATAAATATGTACTTATTGCCATTTTATTAATTGTTTTTAAGTTGTTTCTATAGTTCTCTTCTCTTCTTGATGTCTTCCCTTGTGGTTTGCTGTTTTTCTTTAGTATTTTGTTTAGTTTCCTTTCTCTTTGTTCTTTGTATGTCTTTTGTAGGTTTTTGGTTTGTGGTTGCCATGAGATTTATGTTTATCATTCTTTATCTATTTTAAGCTGATAGGTGTTTAAATTAGAATGTATTCTATAAGGGCTACATTTTTACTTTCTCTTCTATGTTTTATGTTATTGATGTCATATTTTAGATCCTTTTGTGTTGTGTATCTAACTACATATTGTAGTTTGAGTTGAGTTTGATACTTTTTTCTCTTAACTTTTGTAGTTGCTTTTAAGATGTCAAATTGCTATATTTACTAAATGTTTGGCTCTACCTGTGAGGATTTTACGTTTCTTATATTTTAAAATTTTTCTGGTTCTGGCCTTCCTTTTCTACTGAAAGAAGACCCTTTAACATTTACTGTAAAGCTGGTTTAATGGTGATTAAGTCCTTTAGTTTTTGCTTGTCCCAGAAAATGTTTATCTCTCCTTCAATTCTGAATGACGGCCTTGCTGGGTATATTATTCTAGGTTGTAGGGTCCTTTCATTCAGCACTTTAAAGATGGCTCACCACTCCTTCTAGCCTGTAAAGTTGCTGCTATCAGCTAATAATCATACAGGTTTTCTTTTTTCATAACTTGTTTTTCTCTTTCTTCAACATCGTTTCTTTATCTTTAACTTTTACCATTTTAACTACAATCTGTCTTAGTATGGGTCTCTTTGGGTTCCTTTTGCTTAGAATTCTCTGTGCTTCCTGGATCTGGATGTCTGTCCTCTTTTCTTTCCCAGGTTAGGAAAGTTTTCAGCCATTGTTTTCTTAGAATTTCTGCTCCTTTCTCTCTCTTCTCCTTCTGGGATCCCTATAATATGAATGTTTGAGCACTTGATGTTATTTATTACAGAGATCCCTTAAACTATTCTCATTTTTAAAATTCTTTTTTCTTTCTGCTGTTCTGATTAATTGATTTCCACTAGTCTGTTTTCTAGGTCTCTGATCCATTGTTCTGTGTTAGATAATCTGCTGTTGATTCCTTTTCTTGTGTTTTTCATTTCAGTTATTATATTCTTCAGGTCTGCTAGATTCTTTCTTAACTTTCTAACTCTTTGTTGAAGTTTTCCCTCAGTTCCTCTATTCCACTCTTGAGTTTGGTGAGCATCCTATGACCATTTCGTTGAATTTTTAATCAGGCAAATGATTTTTGTTTCCTAGGTTTCTCTCTTTTTTTTTCCTGAGGATTTTTCTTGTTTCTTCATTTGAAAGATACTCTTCTGTCTTTTAATCTTAAAATTTTGTTTTTAAAATTTGTTTGACTTTCTATGAATTTTTTTCATAGTTTCTTTATATGAATTAGAAAAAAATAGCCCTCTCTTCCAGTCTTGGGAAATTGGCCTATGTAGAAGTAGACTCTGTGTAGACTATATGTGCTGGATGGTTTTGACAGGCAGATAGGTAGGAGCTAAGCGGATGTTTAAGGCATCTGGTCTGTCTCAGTGGTTCTCAACCTTCCCAATGACGCGACCCTTTAATATAGTTCCTCATGTTGTGGTGACCCCCAACCATAAAATTATTTTCGTTGCTACTTCATAACTGTAATTTTGCTACTGTTATGAATCGTAATGTAAATATCTGATGTGCAGGATGTATTTTCATTGTTCGCGACCCACAGGTTAAGAACCGGAGCAGCTCTGGGAGAGGAGGACAGTTGTGTGTAGTACTGCCCAGTTGAT